GTCCAAAGTTTCATAGCATCTCAGTGTGGTGAGGGTAGGCCTAGGCCTATGATACAAAGTACTAGCTAGCTAGCCTTGCCTTGCCTTGGGAGCCACATATTGTCACAAAATATAACTTGCATTTTACTGTTTTCTGCAACAAAATAATACTTTACAGTTAGCCAAAATTTCCTGTGCTCACTGTGAAGTATTCATTTGAAGTGATTTCCGAATGAAAACATGACAATAATGACCAAAACGAGTGTTATTATTCCCTTCAAAATGATCGCGAATAAATTTGAATAGCGCCCCTCAATAAACAAAAAGTGAGCTTTACTGCACAATATGCCTGAATAAGAACGCACAGCTCAAATATAATATATCGCCTGAAAATGATCGATATTCCTTCTTTAAACTTAGTTTTATATCACTTTATTGGTTTGTTTTTTTTCTTAGTTGATGTAACATTTTATATTATTTTTGAAGACTTAAAAATTTTGGAGTTAAATGACGTCATCGCTGCAAAATTGATTCATAAAATCGAGAGTTTGTAAATTGGAGGTTCGCAATTGGAAGATGTTACTGTAAAATCTACCTATCAATTCTCTCATTATACTTTCAAGTCAAAGAGCATAATTATTATTCCATAAAGTAATTCCAATAGCTGAGAGATTAGGTGGTATGTAGGTCTACATAAAAGTTTTGAGCCCTGTCCAGACTATCAAAATGTTATTTGACAAAAACATGTGACATGCCTAAATATGGTCATATCATGACCATATACAGGCACATCATATGGACATACAACATTTTTTGTCAAAGAAAATTTGATAATCTAGACAGAGATTTACCTGTCCTGGAAAGATCATCCGTGAGTTGAGGTGATTGAGTCGGACAAGTTCCGAAGCAGTGATACCAAATCGCACAGCGATTTTATCCAAGGAATCATTGGAATTCACCTAAAAGACAAAGAAAACAATAATTATTTCAAAACAAATCAGCAATGGGTATTGGAAGACTTGATGCTTTTCACAAGGCTTAGGGACTACAGCTAAGTACAGTTGAGTACTCGTTCTACCCAGCTGGGATACGAGATTACAATTTGAAGTAGGCCTATTTAAGAGCAGTCATGAGCTTATGTTATTTCCATTTTTTGGACAATAAATAAATTTGTATTGAAAACAATTTATAAGCCCTGCACCTACCTAATCCCCTTAAAGTCACACTGAAGAGGAAACCATTTTTGGATGTTACAGAACAAATTTTTAAAAGACAGAAAAAAATTTGCTTGGAAAAAGCAAAAATGGGGAACAGTGAATGAGATACAGTGAATGAGATACAGATTTTTTTTTCATGTTTAAAAACTAGGGGAAAAAAGTCTAAAAAAGGTGTGGTTACGCCCCTTTTCCCCTTAGTTTTTAAATATTCAGAAATCTGTATCTCATTCACTGTTCCCCAGTTCTACAACATATCAAAAAGTTGTTTTTTTTCCTCAGGAGCCTGACTTTAAATGAGGCTTGAGTATTGGTGATTATAGTTAGGAGACATTCTTCACAGATGGAAGTAAAACTCATTAAGTGCATAATAACTAGGCTCTTAAAGAGTATTATACAGTATATGTGATTCTATCATTTTGAGCATGCCATAAATGAATTGTTATTTCTGTCACTATATTTTATTTACAGTTAGCATGTTAATCATCCAGGTACAGTAGAAACCATTACTCTTTATGTAATTAATATAATAACAATGTTGGAATTATTTTAGTTAATAACCTAAGTACCCCCATGCATTTTAAAAGTCCAGACAGATGGTTATGTTAATTTGTTTAATGTACGTCTATCATGTTTAAGTTCAACTGTAGCCTATCATTATGGTTATTAGTGACTTTAAGCGAATTATGAATTTTGCAATAAAATTGTTTATCATTATTTTTTTATAAAAACTATTAATACAGTTTGAAAACAAAGAAAATAGTCATGTTAACACATGGATACTGAAGGAAAATGAGTCGAAAAGGCAAAGTGTATTTTCGATTTAACACCGAGGGCCACACTCAAAAACCTTAATATACTGCTTTTATACTGCTTTATGCTCAGTTTTAATATACACATGATCGGTGTCGGGCAGTAAAAAAACAAGGTGTTTTCTAGCCAAAGATGGTTGGCCGGCCGCACGCATAGGGCTTATACTACATTTTCGATGGCTAAAAAATCACCGTCAGGCTAGACCATCTGTGACAGACTGTAAAGCACAGTATTCAGAACTCTTCTGTCAAATACTGGTGCTGATTCTGCCTAGAATTAGGGCAGATATGCCATCATCTTTCTTCTCTTAGAAGAGATATACTTCTGATGAGCCCATCTGCCATGCACACAATAGGAATACCACAGTACATTAGTCATCATCACATTAACTCCATCCGTTTACAGCAGTTCATAAATCTATGAAATTGGTTTTCTATTAAATATTTCTTTCCAAATCCAACAAATAAGCAATTGCCAATAAGGATGAATTATCATACTCATAAAGGTACCGTTATGAAATTCTACATGAAATGAAATGCTTTTTTTTGTTTTGAGAAAGCATTCTATTCTATAGAAAAAAAAACAACAAAAAAACTAGCGATGCAACAGAACAGACATTGTTATGGATTCACATTGAAATGATCACATAAATGGATAGGATTACAATACAAAATTACTTCCTACTATTTTTGAATAAAAATTCCCAAAAAAAGTAATAAATAAATTTAGTTGTGTGAAAAGTAATTACAGACTTGATCAACATAATCCACAACGCGTAACTTGGCAAACGTTATGAAAACCAGTAAATCCGTCATATTTTATACTTTAGTGAGAGGCAAGTTACAGACAACTGATAATCTAGCCAGCAAAGGGATGACAATGATATGTCCAACGATAGGAAAGCTGATATGAAATTAAAATAGAATATAATGATATGGTTGAACTAAGTAGTTGATCAGATAACATACTATAGGCGTTAGTCCAGGTTTGTACTGTACACTCGAAACTCAAGCTAATCAATGACGTTACAGTATCTGTTTTCATTGAAATTGATTAAATTATAGGTACTGTTATCATGTGCGATTATAAGCTAAAAAGTTTTAAAATAATCTAAATATTTAAGTTGTTTTACTTTGTATATTTTAGTAGTAGAATTGTGTAAATTACTTGAATGTTAAGTTTATTTTTGTATAATCTCCATCTCATGTTAAGATGACGACATGATCATTTTCAATTAGTTGTTATAACTTTTAAGCATTTTTTCAAAATATCTTAACAGGACTCTCTGTTAAAGTAAAAATAATTTCACCAGGAAAAACAATAAGATGGATAGATGAATGATATACTGAGTTGTCTGTGGAATCAAAATAATATTGTTATGTTCCTCTATTTTCCTTTTTTCCCGGATCCGCAGACAAACAGTAATTATACATTCTAAATATAACCATGTTTTTCTAGAATTTCAATATCCTTTAGAATATTCATAACTACATGACCAGTTGACAAAATTGAGTGGCTTATTGAGTTGAACAGTACAGTATTTTAGATTGAAACCATGCCATATAATTTCCTTAAAATAAATACTTAAGGTATGTTTAAATAAAATATAGGAATGTTTCTGATTATTTAATCTAGTATTAAAATAGTAAACCATGAATTATGATTGTTATTTTTCCCTTCACCAAAGAAAAAAATTAATCATATCCAGTAAAGACATGAGTGATTTAGCAGCCCAGTGTTCAATGATACTATAAATTATATTTTCTGTGAGTAATTACTCATAAGAATTATTTCTTTGATTTAAATAGAAGAAATAATCATTCTAGTTATATATTTAGCTCAAACTACTATATTTGATGACTGATTTGAACATGTAAATTTGACAATTGTATTGACATAGTTTGTTGCTTATTATATATTTCAAAATATTTAGTAACAATTATTAGCTTGTACTCTAGCCCTTTATAAGTATTGATTGAACATTATTTAGATAAATATCATCTCCATTTAATAAACTCACCCTCCAGAGCCACATTTTAAAAAAAACGCCTCCCTCGAACAAATACCCCAAGGCGTTTATTTTTTCCTCCAAAAAAGGTTTTAATAAATAACAGTTAATTACATTTTCCTTCCTATACCGTGACTGAATTTGTAAAATTCTGTATTGTAATTATTACTTTGTAATCAAATAATAATGTGGTTAAACAGTAGAAGATAATTAGGATCAAGTATTGAACCAATTTTTCCAATACATGTGTTATTATTGTTGAATTTAATATTAACCCATTTGTGTGCTGAATTTTAATAATTAATAGCCACTATAAATCGAGCAAGTATTAATAAGACTAAATGCGAACAATATAATGCACTTTTACACTGCAAGTAAAACTGCACACACAATCAGGAATTGACATACTGTCAGAGACAGTTATCTATCCCCCCTCCCCTATTCAAGGAAAAAAAATCATATTACCTCGGAAAGAAAAAAAAATGCTGTCTTTTACAGGATGAGGCTCTAAAGCTGGACACTTGCTGCACCTGTCGGTTGTTGGCCTTTTATTTATTTATTTTTTATTCATTCATTCATTTTTTTTTTTTTGGGATCAGCACATCTCTAAGATGACAGTGGTTCCACTTTTGCTGCTCCCTGGGTCACCTGATTATTCTCTGTTTGTGAATTTCTGATATTTTTTTTCTTTTTTGTATTTGTAATGTTTTATATTGTTAATTGTTTTTGCCAGAATGAAAATAAAAATAAAATTCTACAGAGAATGCAACGCCATGACGTGCGCAACGGTTCGCTTTTTAATGACGATCCGTTCAAACTGCCACCAACAATCAACAGGCAGCATCGCATCGTCTAACGCTTAAAGGGAGCAGAGTTGAATTCGTCTTACGACAAAGTGAGTGTCCAGTTTAACATTAACTACATATTAGCCTTTAAAATTTCAAAATGCTTAGAGCTTCTACCACCAATAACTGTACGTGCAACACAAGCATTGTGATAATAAGCAATCAAGTTTTAAAATTACAAAGGTGCTCCAGTTTAACCCAACATTTTTTTTGTTAAGGTTTAATGGGAAATGTACCAGTATCACTTCAAAATGAACACAGGATTTTTCTTAATTTGGCAGTGTAAAAACGGTATAACACAGAATATATCATGTAAACAAAGTATCGGTAAATTCTATGCAAGAATACAGCTATCTAAGTTACCTACAGTATCTAATAAGCAAGGTAAATATGCCACAAATACTGCACTGTACAAAGACATGATGCCACTTACAACTGTCATGTTTAGTTTTGAAGACATGATGAACGATTTAAACTATAAAACTCAAGACGATGGTAACCAAACTAGGTGAGAATTGCCAAGTTAACCTGAGGATAAAACATGTATCTTTGAGTCAAATATGGTTTTTTAAATTCACATCCAATTATTGACTCGCAACCATTATATAGGATGGGATATTCTAAACATAAATGTTGTTAACAGAGTACAATGATGCTTACGAACCCACCATAGAGCTTACGTAACTTGACAAAAACAACACTACTGGGATTGGAAAGGGACCTTCACTACCAAGTTAATGGTGGAAAGAACCTCCCTATATGTTAAAGCTTACCTCAGATACTGATTTAACATAAAGCACTGTTAAATGATCCATTTTCAATTCATGAATAAAAAAATCCTGTGTTGCAATTCTTCCTGCATCTAGTTAGTCACAATTAGTCTACTGTACTTTCTTTTCCAATTTTAAACAAAAACATGGGAACAATTTTCTGTACAGTGTAATCAATGAATTCCTTTTTATTGAGTCCAAATAAGAACTAGCCCGACTGGCTACAAAATGGGAAATTCCCCTCTTATAAAGCTGTACTGGAAAGGTGGAGACAAAAGCAGGAATTATTCAACAAAGCCAGTCTCACAT